CGCTACTGGCGTGCGCGCTCTTGCTGCCTGCAGGAGTGCGTAACTTCCCTGTGCGCGTGCGGTATTGCTCGGGCCTGCACGGCCCCGGGCGTGCGTTTCTGAACCTGGTTGCATGCAGAGCCCACATGTGCATTGCTCGGGCCTGCACGGCCCCGGGCGTGCATTTCTGAACTTGGCTGCATGCAGAGCCCACGTGTGCGCTGCGTCCATGCGCGGGCTGACTTGGGTCTGGGGGAGCGAGGCATAACATTCTCCCCCACGCATTTCGGTGACGCCTTCGTCATCGTGCAGGATCCGTTTTCCCACTTGGATGCTTGATAAATTGTATAGCCCCAAGGTATGAAGTCGGTTCTGAGTGCCGCTTCTTATGAAATTTTAGCCCCGTGAGATACTTACCCGAACCGGTCTCCGCTACTGGTATCCAATGCGGCTTCTTCCCTTGAAGTGCGCAAAGTGTCCTCAAATGTGGTACTGGAAAGAGGCTATTGTCCACGAAGAAGTTCATACCCAAGATGATGTCTCTGTCTTCCATCATGGTGACTTTAAAGTTCACGTGCCCGTCCCACGTGCCTAAGCAAATCCATACCCCGTTGGCGACGCCCGTCACCCGTACGGCCTTCGCATTATTCGACTTCATCCACCCCTCTCCCTTTGAGATGCGGATGCGAAGTCGTTGAACTTCAGCATCGGTTATGAAACTATGACTCGCTCATGCGTCCACCAAGGCTTTGATTGGCTTACCGTTAAAGTGTCCTTCGACGACCATCAAACGGCCTTCATGCGGTCCCTCCCCGCTTGACTTGCCTTCTATGGCAGTGTTGAGTTGTAGCGCCCCCATGTTCTGGACCTCCTCGTGGTCGTTCGATGGTACCTCAGTGATAGCGCTCAACGAGCCTAACTTCGGGCAGTCCTTCATGCGATGCAGCCCCTTGCACAAAAAGCATCCCGTGTTAGGCATGAAGGCTTGCTTTTTCTCCTCATAAGATTGACGTGTCAACCCCCTGCCTTCGCGTCGAGCCGGTGACCTTCCTTGGTCTTTGGCTTCTAGGTGTCCGCTGTCTTGTTCCTCCTTGTCCGAGTCCTCCTTGTGCTTCGAAGACCCCTCTCAAACGCAAGGGTAGAGCTCGGTAAGGGACTCAGCTGCGGCGATGGCCTCATCGACCGTTTTTACGCCCCGACGTTGCAACTCTTGTTTTGCCCACATTTGTAGACCGTCAATGAAATAAAACAACTTGTCCTCTTTGGTCAAGGTTGTATATCGCTCCACATACTCTGTAACGCCCCGTTTGAATTTTAATTATTTGAGATTATTTATTAGTTTATTATTGCTTATTTATAATATTATTATTATTATTATTATTATTATTATTAGTAAATATTTATTTGTGATTAAATGTCTAAATGTTTTAAATGCCTATTATGATTATAAATATTATTGTGTGTATTATATAAATATATATATATTTCAGTTAATTTATTTTACCGAACCATTCAATCGAGCCGAGCCCGAATATTCGTAAGTCGAATCGTTGGAGAATTCGACTCGATGGATGTCCATATATTCGGCCCCTTTGGTATTTATATTAGTAGGCCCAAACTATTGTAAATATTTTTCCCATATATTAAAGCTCTATCCCAAATTGATCTTGGGCCAAATATGTTGTTTGATTTGTGGCCCAAGAGCAGCTCAATCCCTGCTCCTTCATCCCTGCGACCGAGTCTTCAGCGGATCAAATCAGTTGCGCTTCTTCCTCGCACGATCACCGCGTTCTCCATCAATCTCTCTCTCGCCCCTTTATATCTCAGCAGAGGAGTCACTTCCTTGGAAAATTCAAACCATCATCTCAGCTCCTAAGCTCTATCTCTCTCTGCTCAAATCGTTTAAAAAAAAAAAATCTGTACCTGCAAATTTCTGCCGCTGGGCCATTTTTTTTCCCTGACGAACTCACCTCCGTGAAGCCATCGCCGTCCAGTTCAGCAGAGTGCCCATAGCCGGGGTTGAGCCGTCAGTTGAGGTGAAGAACCGCAGCTGTCAGATTTCGGCGAAACCTTCCCCTCCGGCAACCCGTTGGTACACTGATATCTCCGTTCGTCGTCGACGCCCACGCAGCAGAGCCGTTGTGCCGTCGAGAACCAGCAAGCCATAGTCCCCGCGTTCGAAGGCTTCAAGCTTCAAGTGTTGTCCGTTTGTCCGACCCGCTGTCGGGCCCGTTTCCCGTTTGATAGCTCGTAGTTTCCCGAAGTCGGGTAACTTATTCGAATCCCCTCGTTATTACGATCGATTTCATATATCACACGTTATATATATGATGTGTTCGGTTTACCGAAAGTTGATTTGAAGTCGGATTGTTTTTGGTTCACTTAATTGTTTGTGTGTATATTTCGTTTATTCGTGGATTTTCGGAGGTGATTGGAACTCTCGATTTCATAAACGTGAATACCGTTGTGTTGCTGTGATATGTGTGTATAAATTCGAGGTCTCGTTGTGTTATTTCGAGTCGTCGTTAGGTTGTGCGGTCGTTCGAGCCCCCGTCGTTCTTTTTGTACATTTTGGCCGTTTTGTGTTTTTCTGAGTAAATCCAATTTCAAATTTTATTTTCAAAACTCGGGAAAAGTCGTTATGCTCGTAAACGTTCGAATCTCTCATGAAATCGCAACTGGAAATTCAGTCGAACCTGTGTTGTAGCTTCTGTTAAAATTTTTCAAATGTTATGTTGCTACTGTTCGATATTAAGTCTCTGTTCTGTTCAGTTGTTAGTCAGGTCCACAGCTTTTGTTTTATTTTAAGTTTCCCCTTCCAATCATCGATTGAGCGTGTGGCGCAGTGGTTACTGAGCTATTTTACGTATAGAATGTCGTGTGTTCGAACCCTAGTGTTGTGTGTGGTAGTCTTTATCTTTGTGCTAATTTCAGCTCTGAGGCGCGCGGGCCGCTTGGCCCGCTCCAGCCCGCGCGCGGCCCGATCCTCCAAACAGCTTCAGCCCGCGCGAGGCCCTGCTCCAGCCCGCGCCAATTTTTCCCTTAGCAGGCTGTGTCTTGGGCCCCTTCAGTCCAGGCGCGGCCCAATTGGCCAAAATCCTAACAGCTCGGCCCAATTCGCCTTTTTAAGCTTATTTTGAGTTCCGGAGCCCATTTTTAATACCGATTTCAATTTTAAAATTATTTTTAAAATGATAAAATTTTGGGAAAAATTATTTAAGTCCCGAGACTCCAAATTTTATCCTCCGAGTCATATTTTTTCAAAAATGAGAGAGTTCCAAGTCCACGAAAAATCCGATTAAAACACTTAAGACTTAATTTTTATTAAGTATAGGTTTTATGTTAAATTTGAGTAGTGAGATAAGTTATCTCGCTTAAATGTAGGTGTTTGAGGAGTCGAGCCTCATCCTACGTACTTGCTCTTGTGTGCAATTTTCTACCGAGCTATCCAGGTGGGTTGTAATCTAAAATTGTCTATGCTATGAATGATAAATGTTTATTCTAATGGGTACGATCTATGTATGAATATGAAATATGTAGCCTATTGACGTGAGCTGTTACGGCCGTCGGTACGGTTGTCCCCGTCGATGTAATATGGTTGCCCTTGTGAGGCAAGTCTCCTTAAATCCTGATATGGCCGTGCCCTTGCGAGGTACGTAAGCCTATATGGAAGGCCGTGTCCGTAGCATGGCATGTACTCCCGCCTTCGGGTAATGAATCCCCGTTCTGCGGCTAGCGATAGATGTGCACAGGAGTAATGTGGTTTGTTGTGATTTTGATAGAAGATGAGACATGTTGTGATTATCTTATATTCATGCTGCGAACATACCATTTGACATGTATTATTTATGTGCATAGTAGTGAGCACTACGTTCATTTTGTGCTCACTCCCACCTGCTCTTCACGGATGCAGGTTAAGCAGGTGCTGGATGACGGGGGGAAAGACGAGTGGGTCGGTCATGATTTATGTTTTTATGATTTTGCTTCCATTATGAATAAAGTGTGGTCCTTGAGACGTGTTGAACTATTTTCAAAACTTGTCCTTTTTGGGATTATCGGACCCTTTTGGAATTATTTATTGAATATCATGTGTTTTCGATTATGTATGCTATATTGTTTAGCTAATAATCATGTGGAATTGATGTTTTAAAGGATAATGAAAACCATGTGAACAACCAGATATGACTTGGTTGACGTTAAATGTTTGAATAACGCCCATGTTTTCAAAAATGAGTTCGAAAAATTTTGTACTGATTTTTGGAAAGTCTGAAAATTCTTTAAAATCGCAGTGGGGTGTTATTTGGTATCAGAGCCAGTCTGCGTTTCTGTAGACTGGTTTTATATGTGAGTATGTGTTTAGACCTTGTATTATGACCACTCGTCTCCGTCACTCCGCGCTGCTTAAGGTATGTTTGATTTATGTATTAATGAAAATACTTGATATGTAAATGGAACACATGTGGTAATGAAACTACTTATGTAATTGTTATTTTTGGGGCTTAGGACCTATCCACCTTGATTTAATCGAACTCTAATGTTTATTGGCGAACTCTAGACTTCTATAAGTTTTGATTATTTTGTTTGTTTTTGTGCTAAACTTTGTTCGGCTTATTCAATGTAGAAGTATGAATACTCGCAACAACAATCGTAACCGTCAGGCATCCCCGCAACCTTCTCCTCCTCGTCAGCACCAGGCCCCTCTGGCCATGGATCTTACTCAGCTTATCGTCCAGTTTCAGAGGATGAATGCACCAACTTTCGCGGGTACTGAGAACCCCACAGCGGTGCTGGAGTGGATCAAAGAGCTGGATAAGATCTTCGCTGTGCTTCCCCTCCCTGACCGTCAGCGAGTGTCCTTAGCAGCTTATCAGATGAAGAAGGACGCCGCCTCTGACTGGTGGATTGACCACTGGGCCCGGAGGCCAGAGGCGGAGCTTCATGCTCTCACTTGGGAGCAAATGAAAGTGATGGTGCACAGCAAGTTCCTTCCCTAGAGCTTTTGGGATAGGATGGAGCATGAGTTCTACCACTTGCAGCAGGGCAGCTCCACAGTGGACGAGTATATTCGTACCTTCACCTGGATGTGCCTATTCGCGGGCGACTCAGTGAATACCGATGCCAAAAAGGCCCACAAGTTTCTTAAGGGGCTCAATCAGAGGATCCATGAACTGGTGGGGAGTCACAGACTGATGTCTTTCGCAGATACTGTCAGTCGAGCTCAGAAGGTAAAGAGTTGTCTCATCCCGATAGCTCCGGTCCCTTCATATTATCATGCCTTCCTGCCTTCTCAGACCGTTGTTCAGCATGCTCAGCCCATCTCATCCGTGCCGCCCGGCTCTAGTTCGGGCAAGAGGAAGGCAAATTCCCACCGGGATAACCGGAAGGGTAAGCGAGGAGGTCCCGACCGGCGCAATCATCCCTCTTCTGGCAACCGAACCTGCAAGAAATGTGGCAAGTACCACAGTGGCGAGTGCTTAGCCGACCAACGAACCTGTTTCAACTGCAACCATCCGGGCCATTACGCCAGTGTCTGCCCGGAGCCCAAGAGGCAGCAGCAGTTCCCTCAGCAGCAGCAGCAGCACTTCCCTCAGCAGCAGCAGCTTCCCCCACCGCCCCCTCATCAGCAGCATCAGCAGCCCCCACCGTTCCAGCAAAGGGCTGGGGTCAGGCCCGAGTCTATACCATCACCCATGATGAGGCCACCCGCAATGCAGGTACCATGTCCGGAATGCTCTCGATATCCCATGTGCCTGTCTTTGCTTTATGTGATACCGGTGCTACCCATTCTTTTATTTCTTCTCGTTGCTTGGAGGCTTTATCTATTGGCACCGTGCATGCTTGTGATCCTCTCGGGGTTAGTTTAGCCTCGGGAAAAATTATTATCTCAAATTCAGAGGTTCGCAATCTTCATATCTGTATTGGTGGTCGAGTTCTAGAGGCCGGCGTCTATGTAATTGATATGCGAGACTTTGACGTGATCTTGGGCATGGACTGGCTCACCCGTTACCGAGCCGATATCTGGTGCCAGGAGCGCGAGGTCACCCTTTATCCCGTTCCCGATCAGCCTGTTGTGTTCTTTGGGGTGAGTTCGAGGACTGTGCCTTGGGTCATCTCTTCTATGCAAGCTAGGAAGAGCCTTTCCAAGGGTAGCTGTTAAGGCTATCTTGTTTCCATGGTATCCGACGATGTTGATGAGCGGGTGCCCGAGAGAGTATCTATTGTTTGCGAGTACCTCGACGTTTTTCCTGATGATTTGCCCGGAGGACCGCCCGACCGCCAGGTGGAGTTCGCCATTGACCTAATTCCCGGAGCTGGCCCCGTTTCTAAGGCCCCTTATCGCATAGCGCTGAAAGAGCTTCAAGAGCTCGAGGCCCAGATCGAAGAATTGCTCAAGCTCGGTTTTATTCGTTCGAGTGTCTCGCCGTGGGGTGCGCCCGTCCTATTCGTGAAGAAGAAAGACGGATCTATGTGCATGTGCATTGACTATCGGGAGTTGAACGCCCTTACAGTCAAGAACAAGTATCCCCTTCCCCGTATTGAGGACCTTTTCGACCAGCTGAGAGGAGCTAGCGTCTTTTCAAAGATTGATTTGCGTTCTGGCTATCATCAGCTGAAGATCCGAGAGTCGGATATTTCCAAGACTGCTTTCCGTACCCGCTATGGCCATTATGAGTTTGTAGTCATGCCGTTCGAACTCAGCAATGCCCCGACCGTTTTCATGGACCTTATGAATAGGGTCTTTCATCCATTGTTGGACCAGTTCGTTATTGTGTTCATCGACGACATTCTGGTCTATTCCCGAGATATCGATCAGCACAAGGAGCATCTGAGGATTGTGCTGGAGACTCTTCGCCGCGAGAAGTTGTATGCTAAGTTCTCGAAGTACGAGTTCTGGTTGAACCGTGTGGCATATCTTGGCCACATTGTGACAGCTCGAGGCATCGAAGTGGATCCCAGCAAGATTGAGGCGGTGAGCAAGTGGGATACACCGAGAAGTGCTGTAGATGTTCGTAGTTTCCTGGGGTTAGCAGGATACTACAGGAGGTTTATCGAGGGCTTCTTGAAGATAGCCCAGCCACTGACCAACCTTACGAAGAAGGCCGTCAGGTTTGATTGGAGTCCTCAGTGCGAGGAGAGTTTCCAGGAGTTGAAGAGGAGACTCACTATCGCGCCTGTCCTATCTATACCCGACCCTACTTTGGAGTTCACCATCTATAGTGATGCTTCGAAGATGGGTTTGGGTTATGTTCTCATGCAGCAAGGGAAAGTCGTAGTCTATGCTTCGAGGCAGCTGAAGCCTCACGAGCAGAATTACCCCACTCATGATCTCGAGTTAGCTGTTGTTGTCCACGCCTTGAAGATTTGGCATCACTACCTCTATGGAGGCAAGTGTGAGATCTTTACCGACCACAAGAGCCTGAAGTACATCTTCACTCAGGGGGAGCTGAACATGAGGCAGCGTAGATGGTTGGAGCTAGTCAAGGACTACGACTGCACCATTAGCTATCACTCTGGGAAAGCTAATGTGGTAGCCGATGCCCTTAGTCGGAGGAGTTATGGCCAACTATCTTGCTTGTTTACCGGGCAGGATGTTCTTCTTCGGGAGTTTGAGCGATTACAACTAGAGGTAGTGGAGTCGACTTCGACGACCAGGGGCGTATTGGCCTCTTTGGTTGTAGGACCGA